TAACCTTGTTCTACAAAACATTTGCAGTAAAACTTCAAAGAACTCAATGGACACCATCCAAAACCAAGCTCTTCGTCTTATCTCTGGCGGAATGAGATCCTCACCCACTGCGGCCTGTGAAATCCACACAAATATTGAGCCATTAGAAACTCGAAGAAAACGGGCAGCTTTAGAAATATATGAAAGATCTAAAAGGCTAGAAAATAACCACCCTAATAGAGTCCTTGTTGACAAGTGGAAACCTAATCAAAGACTAAAAAATACAAAATCTGTACTTGACACTGTTCTCAATCTCCAAGAAAAACATCACCTCCCTGAAAGACGAGAACCTCTGGAAAGAGTTCCCTCAACTCTCCCACCACAACTCACCATAGCAAAGCCAGAAATTAGGAAAACACTTTTGGACAAGAGCAATAAAAACACATATCCTGTAGCACTAAAACATTCTGCCCTTGAAACAATTGATTCCTATCCACCAACATGGATCCACTCATACACTGATGGATCTGCCTTTAAGGCAACAATCAACGCTGGATATGGGTCAGTGATCAACTTGCCCAGTGGGGGGAAAAAAGAAGTCTTCAATTCCAGCGGGTCCTTCTGCTCCAATTTCATTGCCGAACAACAGGCTATCACCAACACAGCAAACTACATCAACTACTTGTTTGACACTAACTCACTTGCTACCACAGACATCGTTATATTTACAGACAGCCTTTCAACACTAGAGACACTTGAGAGTGGGACTGATGTGAACAAAGATATATTGCATTTGATTTGGAGTCTACATAACTTGATAAGTAGGCACCAAGGCAGAGTAGTCCTACAATGGATTCCTGCCCACACTGGGATACCGGGAAATGAAAGAGCTGATGCTCTGGCAAAGAAAGGAGCTAGTCTCCCTCAGCCTGAAATTCCTACGAATTACACCACCTGCTGCCAAATGATCAAATCAAACCTCAAGGAAGAGTGGATGAATGATTGGGCCACAGGTACGACAGGAAGGAGGATGTATGGCCACATGAATAAACCACTGGTCAAAGATCCAATCAATGAGTTGAGGAGGGGAGATCAATCCATAATCTTCCAACTTAGAACACAACATGTACCCCTCAACCAACATCTCAACCGAATTGGAGTAAAGCAGTCTGCTGCCTGCCCACTATGTGACTACCCCTCAGAGACAGTGGAACATCATCTGTTTTTCTGTAGAAAACTAACTGATTACAGGGGATGTTTTCTTCCCAAGCTACCCCACACATCTAATTGCCTCTACTCCTCAAGACAACAATTAGAACAAACATGCAACTAATACCGAATGGCATCATGCAGAAGAGTTAACGCTCAGATGCTACTGGATCGCTAACAACAACAACAACACTCGCCCCATCTGTCTCTTATTCTTTCTTTCTCATTCCTCGAGATATGATGTATGAAGTTAGTAGTCCTTCAGGTGAGTTTAACCATGAACATTTCATGCAGATAGAAAAAGGAATCACGACTCATTCAAACTGAATCTACCCATTTGCTTTTGTCGTCTGGTAAATTTCTCTTCAAGTGGTGAATTTCACCAAACTAATGACGGATTTAAGTAATCGGGTTCGCCTACTCCTTTCTTTCTCTTTTTTCTTTGTAGTTACCTCGTCGATCAGGAGAAACGCCCCCGGGGGGTCATTTCTCGTTCATGCACAGTAGAATTGTAAATAGGCTGATTCCTGTCACTCTCATAACTGTGCCTGATCTACAACAGGAAACTGCTGCTTTTTCTTTCCTAATCCTTACTATTGTCATTTCCTCTACTTCTTTTATATGTGTGTCACACTCTTGGGACCTGCTATTTCCGGGGTGCCTTGATAGTCGAAGCAGACTTTATGCTGTTTAAGCTAGAGAGGTGAGCAGAGTAAGTCTGATTCCCTGTAAAGACTTCTCTGTTGGCGCTCATATGACCTTATGCAGTTGCGAGCGCTGTAAAACCCTCTACTTTAAAAAAAAGAAAAAAGAAAGAAACGGCGCCAATATTTTTATGTTCTTTTTCAACTGAAACTAAAATTGACATGGAAAATCCCATGCAACGTCGCATCGCTTGCATCGGCCTCTTTGCCTTGTTCCCGGGGTTTACGCTTCGTTTTGCAACACCAAGCCTACAGTATGACATTACCCAAGATATACTTCGTATTTCCTTGACAGAGTCTATCTGCTCGATCTAAAATATTATTATATACGAAACACCAAGCAAAGCAGCCGTATCCTTATATTTGTAATGTTTCAGACAACGATAACAAGTTGTTAACTTCAATTGCCTCAACTGCCAACCCCAAAGCTAGAAATATGTGGCATCAACGCATGAAAGCCTTAAAATATAATTCTTAAAGTAGCTATTCATTTCATAAAGATGAAACACAAAGGCCAAGACTTAGTCTAAATCATTCGTTTGTCCAATTTCCGTTTCGAAACAACAAACACTATGAAAACCAACAATCCTTGTTTTGGCATGGGTCCAAACTCATCCGTTTCCTTGAGGGACTCTTAGATTGCATCAATGAATCACACATTTTGCAGTCATATAACAAAGAAAGCAAATTTTAAGGCAATTCAAGGCTTAATCATTACTTACATCTTAATCGTTACACGGCTAAAATTGCGTGACGAAGTCATTCATATTCACTTTCTATAGACACCGTTGTCTTGCCGGGGAATAGATGAAAGCCAAGTTGATTGGAAGTCAGTGCACTTGACATAAAAAACGCACTAAAATTTCGAGCAACTTCCGGAGGAAGTAAACACGCCGATCTTAATCGTTACAACGTGACAAAAATTCACAGACGCAACTATTTACAGCCAAAAACTCGTAATCGCTTTATTAATTTTGTTCTTGGTTGATGAAATGAGTAAAGTGATCGTATTTCTAATTCTAAAGTGAAAAATTACACTTTTTAAAAGATCGATTGGACTGAAGATAGGCTTACTGTTTTTTTACCATTTTACGGACGAGACCTGTAGCGTTTAAGACCGAATTTTATGTCCTTTGTATGAAGAAATGGGCTCTTATAAGCATATATTTGTCGGTTACCCTGAAAGTTCTACTTCAGATCAGTATTAAACCCTTAATTACGAAAATGAGATGCAGATAATTCTTAGAGAAATCTCAGGATGAAAACTGTCTCTAGTGAATGTTACGTTTTCAAGCCTAAAAAATGCTGAGTTAAAAAAAAGCCCCATACTGTTTCAGCATATCGTTTTATTGGATATGTTCTGCCTGGTCAAGGTTCGGCAACCTTTTCACCACCGGCTTAGCTCATCTTAACTATGATTTGAAATACATATAGCTTTTTATGGTGTGTGTAGTAAAGGGTAAGTGCAAGTTCAAGTTTTCAGGAGAATTACCCATATATGTATGTATGTATGTATGTATGTATGTATGTATGTATGTATGTATGTATGTATGTGTGTGTGTGTGAGTGTGTATGTGTGTGTATGTGTGTGTATATGTGTGTTTGTGTGTGTGTGAGTGTGTGTGTGTGTTTATGTGTGCGTGCTTGTCCTGGTGTGTGTATGCATGCATGTATGTACGTATGTACGTATTAAGATTATTGTACACATTATTGTGTACAAGTATGGTAATATGTAAGCCCGAAAGTACGCATGCATGCAGGTATACGTGCGTACATGCGTGCGTGCATGTAGCTATCCGCCCATGCATGCGCATGGCCACGTGTTTCTATGCATTTCATTGTGTGTGACATGGGAAAAGAGAAAAGTGAGGGGAAAAAAGGAATAGGAGACGAGATATCTGAAAATATACAATTATTAATCATTGAACATAATAAAGTGATGGCAATTAATATCATTGTATAGAGTCTTCATTTTTAACATCTCACCCCCTCCAGCCCCCTTTAACCCTCAAGGATCTTACCCTCTTTTTCCGAAGAGCAGGACAGTCGAAAATACATAAATCATGACTTTAGAAAAAAAGTATAAACTTATGAAACATTCCTAACGCATACTGTAACCTGAGACTGAAGCCAGCGCATGATTATTTAATCAGTGAGCATACAAACTTTACACATGTGTTTCAGTTAGATCTGTGGCTACACACAAATACGATTTTGTTTACTGTGTACGCTTCTTTATATTTTGATCTAACCACGCACTTTAAGACAACATAATATTGAAAAGGAACCTAGGCCTCAAGTACTTTGCTCACGCATGGTCTCTCGTGATGCAGTATACGCTGAAAACGTGCTCGATTGCTGCTTTTTTATGACTTTTTATTTTTTGTTCTTAGTAAGCAAATAAGTAGAAACAGAAGCGATTAAATCATGATCAAATAGCATTACACCTGATTTTCACACAAATTTGAAAACGAATACATTTGACGATCAGACCGTATGCGCCATGGTTTGGAGTTGAAGTGAAAGTGGCCAAAATTGAATGTAGGAAGGTAGAGAAACAATGGCTTTAAACATTCGCAAGCGCATTTCAGACCCAAAAAAACAAGAGCAGAAATAAGTAATTGAATGTCCTAAAAAGAATAATACTATATTGATAAACATTTAGAAAGGGTCAAAGAGACCCGTCTCCCGAATTTTGTTTAGCGATTTAGAAATGCCCAACAAGTTCGCTAAACCATTCACAGATAAAGTCCAAAATCTAAGATATGACCTTGATAGCTGTGAAACCTGTGATAATTTTGATGTCTATAATAGGATTATTCTCGATAAGTTTGAGCCTGTACCTAAAGAATACATTAAATCAAAACTTAGTTCTAAAATCCCCTCTCAAGTTTTGCGAGTTCTCTGTTGTCTTCTTGCATTGGCGAACTAATTCCATTTATTACCAAATTAATAAATTATTCTATGGTGTGTGGATCAGTACCAGATTCGTTTAGAATTGTTCTTGTTAAAGCCTTGCCCCCCCAAAAATGAGCGCTTTATAAGTATCATTATATTCTATTTATTATTAAACCCTTCATCTTTGACATAACAGAGCAAAGCACTTACTTGTTTCCATCTCATATAAGGCATCATTATCTTCAAAATGTCGATGTTATCATCACAGTAGGTGGTATCAATGGTTACGGGCTTGGCTCCATCGGTCTGCTCCAACTCTTCCAGGCTGGGAGGACTTCCATTTGACACATCCATTTCCTCAGACATTTTCCACTACAAAGACTCCTAAGATTCAGAAAAGTACAGTTGGAAAAATACGTAACTTCTCGAGAAAACAACGTGAAAGCGGAGAAAAGTTCTGCTAAGAAAAGTAGTTCTATGACAGGTTTAGATAATACTAATAGATCTATGCTATGTTTCTTTTCCCTAAACCGGAGCCAAATCGTCAGAAGTTAGGCGAGAGACGGCACAGCAAATAACAGTACTGGTGCTGGGTTTCAAACCTGTCGCGCTAGTGTGGCTCCGGTATAACATCTCTTTCTCTCTCTCTCTCTCTCTCTCTCTCTCTCTCTCTCTCTCTCTCTCTCTCTGCCTCGTTCCCCCTCTCTCTCTCTCTGTCTCGTTCCCTCTCTCTCTCTCTCTCTCTCTCTTCTCTCTCGCCAAGGTCAATACCTTTTTAGGCTATTTTTCATGCAAATGTTTTACGGTTGTGCTTTTTTCGGGGGGGGGTTTAGTTTGGGTTTTTTTAAAAACTCGGTAACAAACTGCTTATGTTCGCTCTCCTGTAACGAGGTGACCCAATCACTATCAGAGCGGAACGAAAACGTTCTGTCGGTGCAGTAATGTTATTATCCTTATAATATGTATTCTAAAAGCTGTATTGCATTATATATTTCCACACTGTTTCAGTTGTGTTTGGTGGAATTTCTCCTGCTTTGTTTGCTTTTGTGTGTTTGTTTTGTCCTGTGTCCGGGGGGGGGGGGGGTTCTCTTTAAATGATTTTCTTTTTTTTGTGGGAGAGGGAATATAGGGATGCGCGTGTTCTTTTACCTAGTTACTTAGTGAAAACTCTTTAACCAGTCGGTTTGGATGTTACCTAAAAAAGAAAAATATCCTTTAATATTCAGGGGATAGCGCAAAACTGTTTCTCAACTTCAGACGGAAGAAAATAACAAGGGACAGATACACATGCGCACAATACATATATGTGAGGCAGTGTGGTGAAATCAGGCACTCATCGAAATAATGAAAGTAAAGAAACTTTTCCGCTGGTTCGGCAATTTTTATCGAAATTGTGTTTTTTAGCTCAACGCTTTCCATGTCCATTTAAGAATCCATTTCAGTGTGAATTATATTGTAAACCGCTGATAAAAGGCAAAAAAAAAGAAGCAAAATATCAGTTTCCACGGATTCTGAGGCTTTGTAAATAACAATACTTTGGCGGCCATTTTCTCACAAATTTTCTCTCTGAAACCAGGCGACCCCACCTCATTTAGTCGCAAATATCTCAACATGTACTCAAGATAAATGGGTAATTTTTTCATCGAAAGCAAGGCAAATGAACAAATTTAAGGTGATGCCAATAACTCCACATGCCAAAAAAAATGACGAGCGCCTGTTTCCACCGCTTAGTGACACATATTATATCTAAGCTTTTTTTTTTCAAACACTTCCAAAGAAAGTTAACATTTTTCATTTAGTGAAAGGCTCTTTCTCGATGCCTGCAGAAGGCCAGGGTTTTATTCCTGAGAGAGGAAAGGCATTCTGTTCAGTATCTCGGTCTTTCTGCCCAGATGCTAAGATGCAGTATTTCACGACTACGTCCAGGTTTGCCCTTACAGACCCGATCAAACCCAAGCAATGAGCGTGTCATCATTAGCTCTACTCACCAAGCGCTTTTTTTTGTTGCTTGTTTGTTTGTAGGGGTTTTACCGCGCTCCCAACTGTATGTGTAAGGTCATAAAATGAACACGCATGACACTTTAAACATTTTCAGTTGCTTGGTAATTTTGAATTTTGCCCGGGTAGCGGCTGAAGCCTACTCTAGCACACGTGACCTCCGAGTTTTTTTCGCCCTTGTCCGTGAAGGCTAGGTGTTAGATCTTACCTACCATAATATCAGGTGTGTGGCTGAAAGACAGCAGTAAGAAGGAGCCAAGGAGCAGCAGTAGAAAAGATGCAGAAAGAATCAGGAGCCCAGAGGGGGCAAAGGAGGCGAGGGGGCGGTGGTGGCAGAAATAGGAGGCGAAAGCAGACGACAGAACATTGTTAGAGAGCAGAAAAGGATATGAAAGGAGAAAAATGTTTAAGAAGAAAATTGTTCTTCGCTATCCGGATTCGACCCCGGGACCATTGAATGAGAGGCGAACACCGTAACCTCTAGACCAAGAGAGCTCCTTTAAGCGCTTTTAAAAGAAAACACAAAAGCTCTCGAAATGTCCCTGCCTTTGTTTAAAGACTGAGAGCCGTAGAGACAAATCCTTGTTTTGATCAACAACTGCGTATTGAATAACCAATAAAAATGGCTACACTGTCTGATATGATTTGTGAAATAACACGCTTCAGTAGCTGTTGTTAAACAAGGAAGTTTTGTTGACACTAATTGGGGTTCAAACTTGTCTGTCAGCCCCGCGCGTGGTTTCATTGGCTGTGACTTTATACCTGTATCTCTTTTAAATTGTGTATGTATGTATGTATGTTTGTATGTATGTATGTATGTATGTATGTATGTATGTATGTATGTATGTATGTATGTTGTTGTTGTTGTTGTTATATTCTATGTTTATTGCATAACACATTATTGATGGTGCCAGGCGAGACAGACTTAATCCACTCAAGCCATTTTTTAAAGAGAAAATAAACAGAGGAAGAAAAAGTAAAAAAGAAAACGAACAGCTTAACGAAACGCGAAGTTTTGTCTGTGTGATCGGGGGATACGAAGTACCGTAACAGGAAACCCCGGGACTCGGTCCGTCGGCGCTCAGCATTATTGTTATGTTGTTATTCAGGTGCGCTGTTGTTCTGTTCTTATTATGATTATTGTTAGGGGGCTGTTATGGTGATCTTTTCATGTTATTATCGCGTTACTGTTGTGTTCTATTGTTCTGTTTTTATTATATATTGTTAGGGTGCCGAGATGATGATCTTATCATGTTATTGTCTTTTTGCTATTGTGTTTTATTGTTCTGTTGTTATTATAATATTATTTTTAGGGTGCTGTTTTTTTGGTGATTTTACCATGTTATTATCTTGTTGCTGTGTCTCTTTATTATGTTGCTTTCGTGTTTTTGTTATGGTCTTGTTATCTTGTTTATACAACCCCGCGTTCGTGTGTCTTATGTGTGTGTGTGTGTGTATGTGTGTGTGTATGTGTGTGTGTGTGTGTGTGTGTGTGTGTGTGTGTGTGTGTGTGTGTGAGTATATGTGAATATGTACGTGTAGATCTATGTCTGTGTGTGTGTGTGTGTCTGTGTGTGTGTGTGTGTGTGTGTGTGTGTGTGTGTGTGTGTGTGTGTGTGTGTGTGTGTGTGATGCAGAGCACGTTTCATTTCATAAGTTGCGTTTGAGAAAAAAATCAACCATATTTCGGAAGGCGTTTTTATTTGAGTTGTTTTTCTTCTAGGATACCAATTTTCCAACCTCATAGTTATCTTCTTTATTTTTAAATATTTTTTTTCAACAAACAAAATAACTCCTATGAGTTTGTTGCAGTACTTCCAGGTCTTAAGGTTTCAATTTTAAAGTAAATCCATTCAAAAGAGAAACGAATTGAAATTGGGCATAAATCCAAGATGGTAGCCATATCTGGAGTGTTAAATGTTATTCTTGCATTTTCCTCCCTCGATTCAAATATGATGTACGCCAAACCGCAAGTCTCTACTCGCATAGATAACGATTTTCGCACTCGGATGTAGACCAACTTCCCCCCTCCCCTTCCCCACCTCTAAATGACTATATGATTCCCTTCCTAAAAACTGTCCTCATTTAACGCGTAATACTTATACTCGTTGATCCTGCTTTTCTAAAATAAGTTTCTAGAACAGAACCTTTACTCCTACTCCATGACTGCAAGATACGCCTTGCCCTAGACACATGTGGAGTATCCTTTGTCCAAAAATGTAGATCTACATACAGCCACAGGTGTTATTGGAGACATTTGCCTGGTATGGTGGTGGAATCAGGCGCTGGTAAAAACAAATGATTAAATAATGAAATTGGGGAAATCGACATTTCCCCGCCCGTTTGGCAATTTTTATCGATCTCTGTCTCTGTTTGTCTGTCTGTCTGTCTGTCTGTCTGTCTGTCTGTCTGTCTGTCTGTCCGTCAGTCAGTCTGTCTGTCTGTATGTCTGTCTGTCTGTCTGTCTGTCTGTCTGTCTGTCTCTCTCTCTCTCTCTCTCGCTTTTTCCCTCTCTCCTCCTCTCTCCCTCTCTGTCTCTTACTCCCTCTCTCTCACTCTTGCTCTCTCTGTCTCTCTCTCTCTCCCAGTTTCTCTCCCGCTCTCTCTCTGCTCTCTCTCTCTCGCTCTCCCTTTCTCTCTCTCTTGCTCTCTCTCTCTCTCTCTCTCTCTCTCTCTCTCTCTCTCTCTCTCTCTCTCTCTCTCTCTCTCTCTCTCTCGTGGCGTCGGTAGCCTAGTGGTTAGGCTACCAGACTCGTGATCGTAAAGTTGCGGTTTCGGGGTTCGAGAGTCCTAAGGGAAAGGCATTTTACTTGAAATTTCCACTTGGCTCGGTCCTTTCTGAGATGGACGTTAAACCTGAAGGTCCCGCCTCTTCCAAATAACCTAAAAGTGTTGATAGAGGCCTTAAACCAATACCATTTCACCATTTCTCCCTCCGCCCAGCCCGTCCCCCCCTCTCTCTCTCTCTCTCTCTCTCTCTCTCTCTCTCTCCCACTCTCTCGCCCGCGCGCGCGCTCGACTGAATCACGTTGATCAGACGTGAAAAAAAGGCCAGTCTACAGTTTCCATGGACATTCAAGCTTTGGCAGTCCCCAAACTTCGGCGGCCACTTCTCGTGAAATATTCCTCTGATACCAGGCTATTCTCACCACCTTCAATCGCAGATGTCTTGACATCTATGCAATGAAGATTGGCTTTTCTGTCATCAAAACCAAGACAAATAAACAAGCTTTAGTATGATACCAATATATTATAACCCTTTATGCCCAGTTATTGATGAGCACCTGATTTCACCATGTCCTGACAGATTTTATTGCACCGGGAAAAAATGAGTAGATCGTCTCAACATGTGGGCGGAGATAGAGAAA